CTATCAACCCTAAAAGTTTCGTGAAAATCTGAGAAAACTTTTGTACACCATGGTTGAGATCCCATGGAAATACCCTTTAATGTTCTTTTAACTAAAAGAGTAATGGAAGAAGTGAAGGAAAAAAAAGTAAAGAAACATCACTCATTGTCGTGCATATTTTATTTTTTCATTCATCGCACAAAAAATAATGCGATCTATCATTGCCTTGCTTTTCATCATATTTCTTTCATCTGTAAAAGGTTTGTTAGACTATCTTTTTCCACTGGACTCTATCATAATATAAAATGAATTCTATAGGTCAAACTACACAACCACCTAATTATTCTTGTAGTGAAAATGATACTTCTATACAATTTACATTGTCTTCATCATCTCATTCAGCTTCAAATCCAACATCAAGTTGTTCTTTACAACAATGTAATACAAGCTTGAATGGTAACAATAATTGTCTTTCATCATCAACACCTTGTTTTGATTATCGAACAATAAATAATATTAGTTATTGTGCACCTGGTATTTTATGTTCAATATTAGACAGATGTGATAATATTACACAAACATGCTCATCAAATAGCTCAGTGTGCGTTATTAATTCATGTTGTTCATCATGAGCAGTATGTTTACCATTGTTAACAACACAAATGTGTAAAACAGGTACTAATACATATTATTTACATTTCAAACTTCATCACACTCAATTAGAACAATTCATTTTAGTCATAGTTATGAATAAAGTATCATTCATTTGTATAAAACCTCTGTCGAATGATATTTTTCTTGCAGTGTAGAGTAATGTGATACATCGACTGATATAGATTTGTGATATCCATTGTTAGTTAACTATAAAAGCGAAAGAGAGATGAAAAACTGAACTGTGTTGAAGTGTTCTGTTTAGTTAGTGAATGACACATTAATGCAGGTTCATATATGATTTAGTTGGTAGAATAAGGGATTACATTTTTATAATAATTCGATATTGTTTGTTTTTTGTGTTTGAGCTGAAATATTTTGTAGAACGAACTTTTATGTTTACATTTGGTGGATTAAATAACAAAATAATATAAATGAGTAGATCGAAGTATAGAAATCGGTATGTTAGGTTATCTCAAGTAAAATTTATCATTCCTTAGTTTCATATTTTTATTTATTGATCTTTTTTCTGTTGCAGTTATCGTTTTAATAATATTAATTTATAGTTGTGTTAGATGTAGTCTAAGAGACACTGTTGACCATCAATATTAAACTTATTGTAAAATAGATGAGTCATCCTAGATGAAATTTAGAAACAAATTGTATGTGAAGATGAATCATTTCTGATAGAGAATCTAAGATTATTATTCTATAATCACGAACTATCTCATTTATCTTGTCTTGATTAATCATATGATCGAATGAACTATACAATCAGACATTAAATACTATCTTTATCTTTGAATGAACCTTTTATCTTATCTTTAGAATATTTGTAAAGGTTTTTTTTGTAAGGTAGTGTTCATTATATAAAAGGATGTGAATGGTACATTGATGAAAAACTGTTGTTGTGCTAATAAATTTAAGTAGAGTATTTGGTTAGATATGAAATATGACTAAGAATAGAATCAAAAAGAACTAAACAGGTGAACTTGTGTAAACTAATGGAGAACTAACAATGATTTGATAGTGAATTATCAGAGACTTTGAGATTAATCACTCGATTTCTCATTAGTTCATGATTTATATCAGTTCCAGTGATGCATCCTATATTGGTCTTTTCATACCTATTATATTGATAATAGTACAAAGAAATGTAGTGAATAATTCACTATTTTGATAATGATATCCAGAGAACTATGATAGAGTTGATGAGAAATTCATAATTTTCATCCTATCGAATATCTTTCGAGCATCGTTTTCAAAATTTTTAGTGAATCGAAAAACATATGAGTTAGTGTAATTGTCATAGTAGGCAATTTGAGACAATTGTGCTCTATATATTTGTTTGAGATAACAGAGGAAATAGAAAATATAGAAAAGTGAAGATGTCATAATGATATGTGAATAGAATTTGTACAATACATTTAACTACTATTCATAGTCGGTGCAAGTTTCAGATGATTTAAAGTAAGCATATCAAAGACTGTCGTTTTTAGAATAATGAAAAATTCTGTGTACAAGAGTAGTGAGTGTTGATTGTTTGATTATCTAATGTTGTATTGTCTGAATATATAAAAATGTAACTTCTAGGATGGTTTCTTACTAGCAATATGAGTGATGCACGATATCTTCATACAGCTTCTGTTTTATCAAATGGAAAAGTATTAGTTACTGCTGGCTCCTACGGGCTTCCTACTAATTTAAATAGTGCTGAGTTGTATGATCCATCAACAGGCACTTGGACAAATACTGGTAGCATGAATAATGCACGAGTTTCTCACACAGGATCTGTCTTATCAAATGGAAAAGTATTAGTTACTGGTGGATATAGTAATGGTATTAATTTAAATAGTGCTGAACTGTATGATCCATCAACAGGTATTTGGACAAGTACTGGTAACATGACTATTGCACGAAATTCTCACACAGCATCTGTATTATCGAATGGAAAAGTATTAGTTACTGGTGG